TTTTTGTTTTTTTTACATAGATATGGCAATTTCCTACAAAATGGAATTTTTAGTTTCCTCTTATCTTGAAAATTCTGGACACAGCTGATTTTCGCTCTTTGTTTGGGTGTACTCTTCGAGTACCGGGTATAAAAAGATTACAGAAGTACATACATACATACATATACATACATACATACATATAAATATGAAGAATGAAAAAATTAATTTTCAAGTGCTAAACCCACCCCGTCCAGCAGCTTGTCTTATTTATTGCACATTTTCTCATTCCACACTCTGCAGCGTGCAGTTTTCTGCTCGAGGGGATGGAGGCGCGCTAAAACAGCGTGTTGGCGTGAGAAGTGATGTAGATGTAGATAACATATGTAGAAAAAAATGTAAAATTTAAAATTTGAAACCACTAAGGTTCAGATATACTACTGAGTACCGGGTATAAAAGTTGTGACGCGTAAGAAGCGCTGTACACGTGGCTTCTCGTTTTTATTTTGTAGCCAGCTACAGAATTTTTGGCAGGATTTCCATCCGCTGGTAATTTGTCTTCTGCTGCGGCTGCTACACATATTTGTGCTTAACAATTATTTATTTATGAGGTTAACATCATTCAGATGCTGCGACGGCGGCCTCTTTATGAATACATAAAGTCCCCATGCCGCCATGCCACAAATGCCACATAATGGCCGTTAGATTGGCTGGCTGCCCAAATGACCGTTGCAAATTTGATTGCATTTACATATGCAGATCCTCGGTGAAAGCCATGGAGAGGCATGGGTCAGGTGTCAGATGGCAGGTGGCAGAGCTGTACACTTTGTAACTGCCACAAATCCGTCGTTATTATTCTCGTGCTAACCCTTGGGCTTAACCTCGCGGATGCCCCAGGGGCTGGGGTGGCGTTGCCTATCATTCATTTTCAGTCATAGATCACAATGTAGTTCCAACGATTGAAAGGTGAATGGTTCTCAAACTTTCGAAACTTAAATTAGTATAATCCGTTCAGTCGAATATTGAAAATCCAAGCTTCATTATAAATAGATGAATATGTATACATAATCCATAAATTGGACTTTTGATTTGGCCGTGTAATGGGATATGGTATGTACAATTTGCCCCAATTGCCCCAAAAACTGTTGCTGCTTCAGCAAAACGGATCTCACATCTCAAAACCACAGCTAAACCCCCAGCCCGCATGCCTCGGGCCCAGTTTGATTATGTAGAAGGAAGACTAGAGGAACATTGTTTGGGTTCTGCTCATTTGGTTTTGGCTTATTGGAATGGCGAATTGGCAATTTTCTGCACTTGCCGCGCGTAACAACTGAATATTGAATATGAAGCGATTGCTTGGCGGCTTCCCCTGGCACGTCCATAAATATTTGATGCCATACATATACTCAGATACAGAAACGGAAATGCAGACACAAATGCTGATACAGACACATGCACGAAATGGAAGTACAGATACTCGTACAAGGAGAAAAATTGTTGTAATTGTGCACTACTCATATGCGATACTGATATGGTCTGGTCCCTGGATCGTAAGGGGCGAGATTTCATACGAGCTCGCCTTAATTCAGTTGGAGCCAGAGTCAGAGCCTCCTCCTATCCATGCATTATTCAGCGGAGTGGGCCTGCGGAGTCGGATACTGTACATCGCAATTTCCTTATTTAGTTTCATTGTGCTTTCCTCAGGTACGAGTATCTACCACAAGAGGCATACATATTTTAGCACCTTCGTTCCCTGCTCCACGTTTCATCCATTTGTTACTGGCAGAATAAACATCACAGCAAATATTTAAAATTATATCAAGTATGAGTATGGGCCGGAATTAGGAATTGGATTAGACCAGGGCTCAGTACTACCCTATCTACTGTACGTAGGAGAAGGCTCTGCCGCGGCGCTGACGCTTACGTACACGTTTATTACAGTGAACTATGGGGCATTTGACCACTTTTTGTGGCATTAATTTATAATTTCCAAACGAAACAATATTTTTTGATATAGTTTTCTGGTATGAGTCTATAATAGTGAAGGGAAGGTTTTTTTAAAAAATGGGCCTGCCACCGCCTTTTCTTCAGGGTAAAATCGAATTTTTATTTTATTTTTAAATTGAATCAAACAAAAAATGATTGGAATATGTAAAGCAATGTCATATTTTACTTAAAAGGTCGTGCCCGGATTTTTAAAAATGGAAAAGTAGAAGATAATCGGGTTTTTACCTTGACTTCCTTGTATACTGTAAGCAGCTTCTTTACTTTGAGTTGTTGAATGTGGGACATAATAGCACTGCACGGCAGTGCAGAGATACTGGAAATGTCTCAACGTTATTATAATTGTACAATTGAGCACGAATTTAGCCAATCTGCACAGTTTTTTTTCGATTTGTTTAAAGTTTTCCGTGAAAATGTTCAATTTAATCAACAAACTGTAAAAAAAAGTTCTTTAAAGGGTCTACAAATAACCCGTTAGTGATCGTTAAATCGTTCTCAAGGCTAGTGACAGGTATTAACAATTAAATTCAATGCAAATCGGCATCTTCTTCGGCAATTTTCTTCTTCACTCAGTCACTAACCAAATAGTATAGTATACAGTTTAACATTGCTAACAACTCCGAAAATCTAAACTTTAGGTTATGTTACGAAGATTCAAATATCTGCGAAGAACTTGGTCGAAATCTAAGATAAGATCATAATAGCAGATATGCTGTTTTGTAACTCATCGTATGGCCATATGAAACTGTGTAAGCTTTCGTCGATGTTTTGACCCATAAAGATTCCAAATTGCAGACATCTAGGCATCATTTGCCTGGAGAACCATTCTCCTTCAAATATTTCTTTGAGGACGGAAAACGGTTGCCTGTCACGGGATCATTAAATGAGACAGAAATGTCGACCTGTGAGAGTGGAGCAGTGGGAGCTGTTGGGAATGGGGAAGGTTAAGGAAAATGTGCTTGCCAAATATGCCGACCGGCTCATAAAATGCAATGTTGAAATAAAAATAAATTCACGCGGGTGCGACAAACCAAATGACAAGCCCATTAAGTCCACATACAGATACGCAGAAACGCGCACCTATGCGTATGGCAATCTATGCTCGTGTACACACTGATCCACCTGCAGTCAGGCGAGGCGGAGAGCCTTGAAGTGTGCCCCAGCCTGTAATCGTAACTTTTGCAATGATTTTGCCATTAGATTTTATTTGCACTTTCTTTGAAATTTTGCGCATCCCAAACACACAAGAATAAGAAAGGAAGGTGAAGTTCTGTGCCGACGCTGGGGATGCCCTTGCAGTTCGTAAATATCTTAGAAAAGCTGTGAGCACAGGTAAAACGCTTACAGTTTGCCTGCAGCCAATTCAAGGACTACTTTAATTTTTTTTTGGTTTTTGCGAGGCTGTGGTTCTATACATTTACTTATCTTGAAACGAAAAATTACAGGGCTAATTAAGGAGTGCTAAACCTCTTGTGAAAATTAACGTTTAACGCCGAGAGATATCGACACGTTCATATACATACATATCAGACGTTCTGATAATGAATTCTTTATGCCTATTTTCGCCACAATAGTCCTCTGTAAGGGCATAATCAAGAAACACAAATGGGGCAGGCAGAGCGAATGTGAGTGCCAGCAGTGTGGTAGCTGGTTGGGTTGGTGGTGCTTGCCTGTGGTGATTAGCGTTTAAAGCAACTAAAAAATAACTATAGCACACTTGAGTTAAATCCAAGGAATATGCTCCACGTTGGACAGGTGGGGAGGCTACTCTCACAGACGAGCGCACACCCAGCGAATCGGGCTTGGGGCGGCAGTATGGCAAGCAGCATCAGCAGAATATGTGCTATTACCGCAGACAGACAGACGGAGGTACATTCAGTAACCGCATATGACACTTGTTAACCCAGCAAAACAGGCAGGAGCAAAAGCGGAAGCAGACGCGCCTGATAGTCATGGGGATGATGATGAGAGTGGAGACACTTCTTGAGAAGCAGGATTGCGGGGTGAGGACACGTATCTGTGGGACCAGTATGACCATTACACATGGACTTGTCTAGTTCGGCACATTTCTCGTCAGGGTTGCGGACATTGGTTGAGCGTTTAAACACAGATGAAGATGGAGACTAAAAGGAAGAGGGAGACAAAAAGTACACATACATACATAAACAGACACACATTTATAAAAATAAGCGAAACGTTGGGAAATTTGGAATCCTCATTGTAACGAAAGTAATTTTAATAATAAATGAAATGCTTCCCCCCTCTTGATTCCACAGCCACTTCCACCGACAGCAGAAGCTTGCAAGCGCTTGGTTGAACAGTAGAGATGTGGGGGCCAAGCTCAGAGAGATATCTGGAGTACACATGTCGATATCGGCCAACTACGAGTATCATCCGTTTCCGGGCATGGCCTTCTTTTAGGACCCTTGGGTGGTCGTGGTCCCAGCAGCTTTTTCTGTGCAGCATCTTCATCCGCAGAATCATCGGAGAGATGCCTTGATGAAAAAGGTCATAAAAATATTAAATATATCTCGTAGGGAAGTAGCGTGGATCATTGCAAACAGAATTCCCTGTTCGGTGGCGCTTAAAAGTGCATTCCTATAGATAACTTTGAAAGTGGATCGTAAACTGTAACTTTGCTGTAAGCAAAATAGAGTCGGTGCACTGTTAGAACATGATAGCGAGGGTCGTGCGCTTATCTTGTTAAGAGGGATAGGTAGGAAGAGCATAGAACTGCGCTTGACCGAAATTCCACTGAAGTCAGCGAAAAATCATATGATTGTACCTTTAAAGCTCCCAAACATCATCCGATATTCGAGCTTTCTGTTCGTTATGATGCAATTATTGACTAGAAAAATCGGATAAATCCCTTAATCGGTTTAAGAATAAATTATGTTGAAAAAGAGGTTTTGCTCATTTTTGTGAAGACATGGAGAAAGCAGGCGACAAAGTGGCAGGCTAGCTAGAAACACAGAATAAATGTCATGTAAAAGCTAAAACTACAGAAAGCCACAATGGAAATATATCTTTTCGTGTGAATTGTTTTGTGAAATATTTTAGTAGAAATTTTATCATATGTATTTTAGCACGTCAGAACACCAGGACAATCTCTACAAGACAAAATTGGTTGAACAGGCCGTACAGACATGGCTGCGCCCATGAAGAACTTCGTTGTGATGACTGTGGAGGCGCGCAAAATGTTCTCAACTCCATGCAATGACACTACAACGGAAGGCAAAGCATTCTACTACAAGATGCGGGGATTCGCTATTTGGCCGAATTCACCATTGGCTGGAACCACATGGAGGCGTCAGAGCAGTCGCTGTGCTCTTACAATACTGCCTGGGAATTCGCAACCGATTTGGCTCCATCGTAGTAGGCCATCGACTTGGTACAGCCCGCTTTCGATGATGCCAGTGATGAACTGGATAAACTGAACTCATCATGTAGCTGCTGCGTGACAACCTTACACTATGGACATCTGCCTAGCAGCTACAAAGTAAGTCATATTATACCTATGTACATACGTATGTATGTATGTATATGCATATGCATTATTCAAATATTATAGCGGCGTCAGCTGACAATGCCACAGTTGTCGCGAACCTAAGAACCTGATTGAGAAGGGACAGGTGAAAGGATAAGTATTAATTTAAGTAGACATGCACCCGTCATTTAAGCACCACACTTTGAATTATTTGAGAACAACACCATAAAGTCATGTGACAACCTGTAACCCCGTGCCGCCCGACATGCAGGTGAGCCATACAAATATTTGTATTTAATTATACTTAACACTTGACGCTAATGTAGGTGATGGCCAGACGAAGGACATAAACCACAAAAACATGGAAACAGAATTACAAAAAGGAATACCAAAACAGTTCTCGAGAATAACTAGAACATTTACCGATATTTGAAAGATTAAAATCTTGCAACAGAAGCAGCAACAACACTGGTAGACGTGGATATTTCAAAAAGACTTCCTTTTCCCCCGTGAGCGCCCCAGTTGTTATAAATAATAGCCTAACAAAAAGGTGTTATTTAGAATTGTGAAAATCAGAGACCAGCAAAATAAAAATGTGTAACACAAAATTGAGTATCAAGAAAGTTTAGAGCTTTCGTTCACAGAAATATCCCTATCGCTATTCCCTTGCTCAGCTGACCTAATGGTGACGCCACTTAACAATCCGTCTAATTTTACCCACATTACTCACTGGCTGCCGTGGAATCCAATTCCATTCATCCAATTACTCGAAAGAGTAATTACCTGCCTTTGCCGTTTGTTGCCTTAGCCCTGACCCTCTAAAATAACTGTAAACTAATCCAAGACCGCGAATGGAATTCTTGGCCCAGCAAAAGGCTCAAAAATTAATAACCTCAGAGAACAGAAACCAGAAATTCACAATAATAGCAAGGGAGGATGGGTGGCTCCTGTTCATTGGACTGGACCATGAATTATAAATATAAATTTAAATTAAAAAAACAAACGAAAGCGAGCTAGCCCCTTCCAATCTTCCCATCCCTGCAGTACAATACACCATTTCGTCATAAACTTGGCCACAAAATCAGGCAAAATGGACACTAATCAAGGACTATGTCTTAGAGAAACGAATGCAAATATACTGCAAATGAAATGTAGGATGTGACAAAACCTGAATAAATCCTACATTCCTTGTATTATTATTTATTCAACATCTATTAAAATGTTTTATATGATTGTATTTATTTAGTATTTGTATTTAGTATTTCACATATAATCGTACTTAAGTATTAATATAAGACAGTATCAGGTAGGCCCCGGTTTTATACTTCTTACGCGTTTGAGCCAGTTTTGTGAGCCTGTCTGTTTATTATACCCGGTACTCGAAGAGTAAATAGGGTATATTGTATTTGTGCGAATAACGGTTGTATGTAACGCACAGAAGGAAACGTTTCCGACACCATAAAGTATATATATTCTTGATCAGCATCAATAGCCGAGTCGATAGAGCCATGTCTGTCTGTCCGTCCATCTTGTTGAGCGCCTGGATCTCAGAGACCATAAAAGCTAGAGCCACCAAATGTTGCATCCCGACTTCTGTATGCTCACTGTTACAAGTGTATTTCAAAAATGAATTAAATCTGAACAGACAAATGAAGACATGAAATGTTGAACGTTTGAAGGTTTGAAGGACTGGGCATATCATCTACTTTTTCAGGCCCTGCTGGAGCTATCATCAGGTTCATTATAATACGAACTCTATACCCACTTAAGCCACATTATGCCAATTTATTTAGACCCCTTTTTACGTTCGCATGTCTGGCAAAAGGTAAAGAGCATAACCGAAGTCGCAATTTTCTTTCCTTTTTGTCTTCCCAAAATTGTTGGTGGTCGGCAGGATTGGGTGTGGGGTCATAGTTCCCAGCTGTCTATTCGTAGCGCCTTTTTCTACATCTCTTTTGTTTTCCGTCTTTTCCGTTCCATTCCTTTCCCTGTCCATCTCCGCTTCCCTTGTCGCTTTTGTACCTATTTATGTGTGTTGTTATACCCGGCACTGGAAGAGTAAATAGGTAAATTAAAATAAATAAAGTGGATGTATATAACGCATAGAAGGAAACGTTTCCGAGTCCATAAAGCATATATATTCTTGATCAGATTCAATAGCTGGGTCGATATGACGATTTCTGTCTGTCCGTCCGACTTGTTTGACGCGTCGTTATCAGAGACCATAAGAGAAAGGGTCACCAAAATTTTGGTGAAGATTCATGTGATATCACACTGAATCAAGTTGTTTTTACCCACCCCTTGTAACAGATTTGTTTATTTTTGCTCGCACGCTCTGCCTCGGTAAGTGTGACTCAGGGGAAGGGAGGCGAGCTAAAACGGCCCACACTATGTAGAAAACAGATTTAGGAAAAATGTAAAATTCTAAAAACTCATTTCCGATGTTTTCAAGAACACTGAAACCAAGAGTCACCTTGCTACTTCATGGAAATGCAGCTGCTTTGTTTTGTTGTATTTAAAAGTGGTGGTAAGCGCTCGTCGAAGCCCCACCACCGATCCACTCAGTTTGTTGGCATTTGTATAGGAAACCTATTCTTCCACTCTTTCTGCGAGCCGTCCTCCTTCTTGGGGCAAGTCTGTACATTAATGTGGCTTATAATCAAGATTTGCAGAACCAGAAAAGAGACCAGAACGAAGTAAAGTGAAATAATACAAAAAGTAGTTCGCCCTCTCGATGTGGTTGCATTTCTTTATTGTATACTACATTCTAAGACTATTTCACCATCATGTCATCTCTTCAAATAGGCAATAAGGAGGAGGAATGCGATATTTATCCTCACATCATAGAACATCTCAAACACATTTGAATTTAAAAAATGTATTTGAAAAGAGAAACCGCAAAACAGAGCAGCCAGGCTCAGAACACAACAACTTAAAGGCTCGTCATACATACATACTATCATAGTACATGCATATGTACATACATATACTTTAACGTATGGTGCGCAGACAGCACAGCATAATACATGAGTTACGTGGGGGGCAGCACCGCTGCAGAGCCTTGTCCTATGCACAATAGATAAAACCGTGCCGAGCCCTGATATAATGCTTTCGGCATTTTAAAATATGTATACTTTACTTTTGAACTTTTAAAATTTAAAATTAAAAAAAAAGAAATTAACATGCAACAATGGTTCTTCATTTTTCCATAAAATCGTGTGAAATCTCATGAAATCTCTGAGATGTGAGACAATTTCGAAGTATTTACAATAAAATGATGTTAAAACGGATACATCCCTGTTGTTTGCAAAGCAGCAGGCTTAAATTTAATTTTTTAATCGTACTTTTTGCTAGACATGGATCTACCGACTTTCACGACGACGAATGGCAGAAATTGTAGTGCTTGCGTCCCGCCGATACCACAGAGGTACGGGAGTACGAGTTGAGTTGACGGTACCTCTAGACTGGCAAGGATAGTATGGTCCTCTTTAATTTTTCCTTTTTGGCCTTTAATTTTGCTCAACTTGCACTTGGCGAGCCAGTCAGAAAATGTTGTTGTTTAAGTTGCTTTTGTTCTTTCTAGCATTCCATTCTGTTTCCTGCCTTTCGTTTCGTAAATATGAAGTGGTCGTATAATCCACACCAAATGTCAAAATGACCCAAGTGCGAAATTAAAAGGTAAAAAAGCAGTAGTGCACTGCTGGGCAAGACTACGGCAGTGGGCAGTTTTGAGGCACCACTGGAAAATACGGCGGTTTTCCGGCAGCTTCTTGAGGCAGTTGTTGGCATTTCCTCCCATGAAGAAATCGGGGCTAACGGAAGGCGACTACCTACCCGAACAAAGTAGGGTCGAAATGGCTGTGACTAAAATAAGCTGATACCTTTCAATTCGAGCGACTTTTTTCATTTGGATTTCCTTGGGGCAGTGATTTGTTGATGCCGAATAAAATTTGTTATAACTAATTGAGATATATGTATAAATGCAATGAGGACATAGACACAGGCAATATAGAGAGAGGAAGAAAGGGTTAGCAGGGAGATAAAGTTAACGTTAAGCCACACTAAGCCAAGCCAGTATTCGATTGGGGCTAACTCGATTCGATTGGGGCTCCTTCCTTTTATTCCATTCCATGCCCCGTCTACAGTAACATACACAGTAACAGACGAAATGTTATCCTCTCCGAACGTCGCCTATTCGACGCCTGCGCAGATCTCAAAAGAGAGATTGTCGTTTTTTGCTATAAATATTATATATAGGTTTGCGACTCGGCTTGACCGTGAGAGTTGTGGTTTTTCAGAGGGTGACTGGAGTTATGTGGACCCTGGTCATGCGCATTCCTTGCCCTTCATTCTCTTAATTTAATTCTCTTCCTATTATTCTACTTTGTATAACAGCTCTTACAACTTGGTCTGAGTTTATGGCGCCATGATTAAAGAAAATTATTCTTTCAGAAATTATACACATTGACTTTTCTGATGTACCTCCAAAGTACATACACGAAGTACTTTGAAATTTGCATATATTCTAAAGGTTACGGTATATTTTGTGTAGGTAGCAAACTTTTATTTATATCCATTATGAAGATCTCCTACTCCAATGATCCTCTTTGGGCTTTATTATTATACACACATATGTACGTATGTAAATACATATATCTGGGCGAGTCTGGAAAGAGTATGCTTTATATTTTTGCCAGACTGACAGATTTTGACAGAGATTGGCACAGAAAAGCTACCAGTATTTTGAACTTTAATTTAACGTTGCTAATGAAAGGTTGAGAAGATAAAAGCGATAAAAGCTCGTATCCAGCACCACAAAAACTAAAAATTGGTAGACAGGTAAGAAATATATGCTGACAATTATTTCTGGTGTGTAGGAGGTGAAGGAAACAAGTGCGCTCATAAACGTAATAGAGAGTCGAAACAGATCGTCGGAGTCAATTTAACTACCAGCTCTTTTTGTTACTTTTTATAACCGGTACTCGAAAAGTAAATAGGGCGAATTGTATTTGTGGGGAATAACGGTTGTATGTAACGCACAGATGGAAACGTTTACGACTCCATGAAGTATATATATTCTTGATCAGCATCAATAGCCGAGTCGATTGAGCCATGTTTATCTGTCCGTCTGTCTGTCCGTCTTGTTTGTCGGCTAGTTCGCAGAGACTATAAGAGCTAGAGCCACCAAATTTTGCATCCAGACTGCTGTATGCTCACACTGAAACCAGTGTAATTAGCCCCGCCATCTTCCGACCCCGCAAAAGGGCGAAAACCTCCCAAACCTTTATTTTTGAAGATAAAAGAAAAATAAACACGCCATTCCGTAGGGAATTACCATATCTATCAGATCACCAAATTGGGCCAGAATGAAGAAATTAATTTCCAGTGGCTAAACCCACCCTGTCCCGCAGCTTTTGTTGATCTTTTTACATTCTCTCATTCACACTCTGCTTCTGCTTCTGCTTCACTCGGCCCCTGCCTCTGCCCTCCCCCTGCCGATGCCTCTTCCGACTTTTAACCCACCCCGTCCAGCAGCTTTTATTTGTTTTTTTTTTTTTGTATGCGGACGGTGCCTCTG